TCTGTCAGGAATCCCAGAATAACCCTACGCATGTATATATTTTTTAAAAGAAGACAACCTAAGGTATTAAACTTGAGGTATTTTGACTCTTTTCATGCTATTTTTATGCAACCATTTTACCACCAATCTATGCCAAATTTAAACAAAAACAAAAAATTTTTTTTTTTTTTTTTCAGACAATACCAGCCTAAGAAAAGCTTATAGTGCTTCTTTATTTAAGGCTTTGGTATATTTGTCATCATGAATGTTGTATCTGTTCCCTTCCTTTCCCTCTCCCTCCCCTCCCTTCTGGTTTCCATTGTTTTAATATAACATATTCCTAGTCACCAGGCAAGTGTAGCCTTATCCAATTATCAATATTACTGTATTTATGAGGCTAATACTATTTGCCTGATTAACAGTTTAAATAGCAAGAGGGAAGAGAAAAAAATAAACACAAAATAAATAAATATACACATGTATACATATACATATACACATATATTTCTATCATAGGCGTGCGCACGGGGTGTGCCGGGTGTGCCTGGGCACACCCTAATCCCCGCGGCACGCCTATGTATATTGAGACCGGCAGGGGAGATCTCAGGATCTCCCCTGTCGGCTCATGCAGAGCCGGCGCTATCCGAGCGCCGGCTCTGCTCTCAGCCTCCCTCCCCACTGACCCACATGCAGGGAGGGAGGCAGGAGAGGACCCGGCGGAGCTATTGCCGGCAGCTCCGCCGGGTTCCTCTCGCGAGATATGAGCGTTGCCACGGCAACACTCAAATCTCGCGAGAGTGAACTCTAGCCCCACAGGGGGCTAGAGTTCACTCTCCACTGGACCACCAGGGATGGAATCAGCAGCACGATCCCCCCTCCCTACAAAAGGTAAGAAGGGAGGGGGGATAGCAATTAATGTACCCCCACCCCCACAATCACCCACCCACATACAGCACACATACAGCACACACACATACAGCACACACACACATACAGCACCCACACACATACACATCACCCACAGACATACACAGCACCCACACACATACACAGCACCCACATACACACAGCACCCACATACATACAGCACCCACAGACATACACAGCACCCACACACATACAGCACCCACAGACATACACAGCACCCACAGACATACACAGCACCAACACACATACAGCACCCACACACACATACAGCAACCCTCACAAACACACACAGCACACAAACAGCACCCTCACACACACACAGCACACTAACAGTACCCTCACAAACAGGACCCTAACAAACACACACACAGCACACTACCAGTACCCTCACACACAAACAGCACCCTCACACACAGTTCATTAACAGCACCCTCACAAGCGCACACACACACACACCCTCACACACAGTACATTAACAGCATCCTCACAAGCACGCACACACAAACACCCTCACCCACATAGCACACTACCAGCACTGTCACACACACATCACACTTACAGCACCCTCACACAGCACACACACACACAGCAGTGTGTGTATGTGTGTATATATGTGTATCTGTATATATATATATATATATATATATATATATATATATATATACATACACATACACATATATATATACATACATATATATATACACATACATATATATATACATAAATATATATATATATATATATATATATATATATATATATATATATATATATATATACACGTGGCGTGTGCTTGTGCTTTAGGGTGCACACCCTAATGCAATAGGCTGCGCACGCCTATGATTTCTATGTATATAAATCCATTTAAATGCGTGAAACAAAGAAAGACAACATAAATACAATAATCCTTCCATAACTATACACATTCAAACCAACATACACAAAACAATTAAGTACAGTAAATAGTTTATACCCTCTTTCTATCCTTTTCTCTTCCTTTTCTTTATATATCTTTCTTTTTTCCTTTCCGTTTTTCTCCTTTCTTTCTTCCCCCCTTTTTCTTTTCCTTTCCCCCTTCCTTTCTTTTTTCTTACTTTTTCTCCCTCTTCTTTCCCCCCTTTTCCCTTTCCTTTTTTCCTTCTATATTACGTATCTAATGCACTCGTTCAGTCACAGGGAAATAGGTCATCAAATCTTTATATATACACCTATCTTTTTTTTTCATGTACCACTAGATTATGTTCCCAATAGCAATTCCTTTTCTTTTTTGTTCTAGAATTTCTAGCCAATTCAGCCAAATTTCTATCCCTCAATGGTGATTTCTGATATTATTGACCCCCCATTTCCATTTGAATCTGGAATTTGATCTGTTGAGTAAGGTATTTCATAGAAAATACCTGTGTTTTCTTCCAGTTTCTAGCTATTATTATTTTTACAGCTACAAGGCAATGTATAATCAGCACTTGTTCCAACTTTTTCCTGTTAAGCCATTCTAAGTGAAGCAACAGGACTTCCGGTCTAAACTCTATTTCAATTTTACCCATTCTTCTTAGTATAGATATAGCCATATGCCACAGAGGTACAACTCTTGCGCAACTCCACCAAATGTGTAAATAATATCCCCTACTCTCAGCATCTCCAACAATTATCATCATTACGAGGTGAAATTCTTGTTAGTTTAGATGGAACCATATACCACTTATGTATTACTTTATAATGTGTTTCAACTAAGGAGAGGCAATGGACATACTTATTTGTCTTAACTAATGCGGCAAACCATTCCTCTCTGTTTATGGATATGTCTAAAACTTTTTCCCAACCCTTAATAGTGGAGGGGTAGACCTCTGAATTTCTAGAATCCAGTAATTTCACACATTTAGAAAACTTTTTTATTTTCTTTGCAATTGAATATCAATTTTAAAGAATTATATACAACTCCTCTATTAAGAATAATTTTTTTCACTAGATAACTTTTTACTCTTAGGTAGGAGAAGAGTTCTCGATTGGGCAGAAGAAATTCTCTCGATAGCAAGTTAAAGGTTTTCATCTTATTGTTCATTAATAAGTCTCCTATATTTTTGATATTTACTAATTTCCAATTTTTTAAAGACATATTCAGAATATCTAATTCCAAAATTTCTATACTTTGAAAATCCATGATCTTGTCATTAAGATTTAATTTCTTCTTTCATTTTCCCCATGTGGGCAATATTTGTTTCAAGATGAACGATGAAGAATAGTCCAGATCCTTGCTGTTCCATACTACTCTAGATAAATCTTTGGTTTTACACATATCTGATTCTAACCAATACCATCCCTCTGTTTTAGATTTGTTCTTTTGTAACATAGCAACATAAGATATTATTCCAGCTTCATAGTATTTTTCTATGTTCGGGTAACCCAAACCTCCTGTTTTTATATTGCTGTTCATTGTACTTGCTTTGATTTTTTATTTTTTTTTGGACACACAAAGCAATTTAAGAATACATGTACGGAGAACTTTAAGGGTTACTGCCAATGAACACCCCAATATTTGCTCAGCAACATCACCCGAGTACAGTGATACTACCCATGTATAGGTGTGTCTGGTTCTGTAGGGGTAAAAGACCTTATTTGGAGGGTGTCAGGATTACAGAATGATCCAGCACGTAGAATTGTGTAACACAGAGGACTGATAGGTAACATATACCGGACCTTAGAATGGCCGGACTAACGTGCCAAAGAATAGTCAGGAATAGCCGAGGTCAATGGATACAGAAAGAGACACAACGATAAGGAAAAGCCAGGAGTCAGGGATGCCAGAAAACAGGGAAGTCAAAAACAATGCTAAAGTCAAATAACCAGAATAACCGAAATCAATAACGCGCTCTCTGACAACCACAAGGGAAACCGTGACAGAATGAACTGACCTTGACAAAGTCGCTGTAATAGATCCTGGGCTTAAGGCCAAACAGGAGCTCACAATCCATCCTGAATTTTGTGTAGAAGGAACAGGAACCGTCAAATCTGTCAGGTATCACAACAAACGGCTCTGGATAAGCAGGTTCCAGGGCTGGGCGTACTGTGCCTTTAAGAAATAAAATTTCTCACTGCAGCTCCGAAGCAATCTGGACCAGGCTGGACACTTGCTGGGACAGGGGTGAGCACATCTCTGCAGACTCCATTGGTCAGTTCCTTAACTCTGGTTCTCGTATTGCTGTTTCGTGTTCCAGTGTTCTCCTGTTGATTCCTGACCTTGGCTTGTTAAATCGTGTATCCTGATTTCTGGCACCCACTGACCTTTGGCTTACCCACAATGATTCTCCTGTTTATGTCCATATCTGTACTGCGACTTAGAGCATCATCCTGCACAGACTCACAGGCCAGGTCAGTTCTTACCTGACTACCTTGGCCTGTGTTTAATTGCAAGGGTGAGCATATATCTACGCTACAGACTCCCAACCAAGGTAAGCCGTGACAGAGAGTGAACATTCCATTTTCTACCTTGGAATTTTCACAGCTGGTCATCATGCACCCATGTCCTATTTGGGACATTTTTGAAGCTGGCCAATGTAATTTACCCCCATTAACCCATATATTTTTGAAAAGTAGACACCCTAAGGTATTTTAAATGGTTGTATTTTAACAATTTCCATGCACTAATTCTACCACCAGTCTTTGTCAATCTTTTGTGTAGTCGTTTTGTTTGTGTTATTTTTCTCACATTGTACTTTAGGCATGGATTCTCATTTCCTGTTCTGTGTTACTGACAAACTCCCAATATGTGTTCAGCAACATCTCGAGAGTACAACAGTGCCCCCAATGTACAGATTTTATGGGCTTTTGCAAACTTACAGGGATCAAATATAGGGCTTTCCCCTTTTCCATATTTGCAGATTGAAATTTGCCAGATTGGTTTTCTGGGCCTGTGTTGCCTTCTGAGACCATATAGTAGCCCAGGAATGTGAAATAACCCCATCATGGCATACCATTTTCAAATGTAGACAACCCAGGGTATTCAAAATGGGGTATGTCCAGTCTTTTGTAGTAGCCACTTAGCCATGAACGCTGGCCAAAATTAGTTTTTTTTTTTTCTTCTAATAAAAGTGTGTGTGTGTGTGTGTATATGTGTGTGTGTGTGTGTGTATATATATATATATATATATATATATTGTGTGTGTATATATACACACACACACACACACACACACTGAGCAATGTGCCCAGTGGGTTGCCACTCAGCCGACCAGGGGTGACGCAGATCATCTGGATCAAACAGGGGTTTACTCTGAGGGTCCAGAAGCACTGCAACCCCACCCGATGACCGAGCAAAATTGCCCTGGGCAGGTACGGCAGCCCCTGTAAGGGTAGCAGAGGGGATGTGCTCAGTATCAGCCTTGTCATAAGAGGCATACTCCATAGCATCAGTCACCCTTCTCACTCCGGTCAGTATCTGACCTCTCCTCACAGGACCTAGCCTGTTTCCACAATCTGGCCATTTTTGCCTGGCCAGGGGCTCTATTGCGCATTGAGAGCGCACCATTTTTGATCGCCTCAATCGTGTCCTTCATGGCAGGCAATACCTGCATTGAGGAGTGGGAGGTGAGGTGTTTTGCCTTACGGGCCGCTGGTGTGGCAGGGGCAGAAGGAGGCCCAGTACCCTCTCTGAATAGAGGAAGTCTTAGTGGAGTCCAGCAGTGGCTGAAACTCCTCAGAAACCATATTAAGGGGAAAGGGTTAAATAACCCACAGGGAAAGAAAAATTAGTAAAGCAAAAACCTGACTGGTGGTGTGCCCAGGGGATCCTGGAGCCGAGAGGACCGTTAAGCAGGTGTACCGGATGAGAGCTGCACCAGAGAGGAGATTATTGTTGGTAAGCTCCGTCCCCAAAATGGCCGCTGCACAAGGAAAAAAACAACCGCGGCCTGTTCACAGCAGGGGAAAGGGGCCGCACGCACCAATACCCACGCGGTCCGCCCGGGTGTCACGTACGAGAGGCGCAGCCGACTGAACGGGGGCCAGCTGCTGCCCACGGGTAGGAAGACGTCAGGCATTCCACCAAGAGGCCACCCACTCTATTGCAGGGATTGGGGGGGAGGGGTCTGGCTGGGTAGACGGCCGATCCGTGAGAGACCCAGGAAAGGGGCATACCACACAGCTGCACAATAAGTAAAATGCAAGTAAATACCCCAGAAGTACAAGTACAAAACACTTATAAGCAGTAAATAAGATGAAGCAGTAACTATAGAAAGCAAGTGAGAATACTTAGCTGGTCTGAGGGAGCAGCAAAGAAAGAGGGGAGACACAAGCCTTTTATAGTCACTTCCTCTGTTATGTAATTGGTGGCTTGTGTCACTTCCTCTCTATCTTTGCTGCTGAGGGAATTTAGGAAAGAGTTATGCATAATAGGAGCCTTCGTGTCTTTAATAAAATTGTATTTTCCCGGGGACGGAGCTTGACAGCCTGAGCGGTCACACTTCAGAGGAGCTCCGGGCTAACCAGCCCAAAATAAGCCATAATTACCCTCACAAATGACAAATCGCCTGCTTTTAAGCCCCAGAGACAGGGGTCTGCCATGGAAGAGAGGCCCAATCGAGTAAGCGACCTGACTAGGCGACTGCATCCAGGGGATAGTAAAAATATGTACAAAGGATCAGCGCTAATATACTAGATCTTACAGAGATAAATGTAAGGCAGCACACCTGAAAAATAGGGCTCCCTCACAGGCCCTATAGAGTAGACAAAACTAAAAAAGGTGAAGGGGGAGGCGGCGCCACGGGTGAAATAAAATATAAATAAATAAACCTGATTATAAACTATACAAGCAAATATACAAGACACTATATAAGAGAAAATACATACAAGATAAAAAAAACAAAAGTTTGAAATATGGATAATGAATAATAATTAAGTCCAAAGGAGTCTATGCCTGATAAATGCAGCAAACAAAGTCTAAATAAAACCTTGTATAAGAAGTCAATCACAATCTTGTCAGGGGAAGTATTCCTCAGTAACGTATGGACATGTGATACTTGTGAAATGCATATGAAAAAAATAAAAAGACCGCAAATAATGGTGCAGTATATCCCAACAGGTTTTTTTTTTTCCAGGGGATAAAATATTTTATAAATAAATAATAATAAATAAGCGACCGATTCCTCAGCCGACTGTAGCCTACCACACTGGAGGTCTCCACAGAACATCCTTCTCCCTCCCCCCCCCCCCCCCACCAGTGCATGATATCACGGCAACTAAAGCTTGCAGCCAAGAGCGGAGACACCAACCTCAAAACACGGGCACCACCGGACCATCGACAAACAGGACGGAAGCCACGTGGGCCCCAGCACTAGAGCCTGATCTTCCCCCACTGTCAGAGCGACTAGACCGCTTATTCGCTGACTTCTGGGCCTGGATCTCGTACCGTGGGAACACCCTAAAAGAAATCCCATTGACAACAGTCAAAAGGGAACCCACGCACAAGACTGCAGCACTGGTGAGTGCCCCAAGAGTGTATTGGATGGCTGGGAAGATCCGACAAGAGCTCCAGCACATCAATCAACGACCACTGGTGAGTAACCCAAAGCCTCAACAGAGACGCACCACAGGGCTTCCACCCGTGCAACCCCACCTGAGAGACGGCACAGAGTCAGAGGGCCCTGCACTCTCTGGCAAGACCCACACCGGGGAAGCCCTCACGCCAGCCCACAGATCTATATGGGACTCCCCAATACTCACCACCCTAGAGCACCAGGAGACTCAACGACATAAAGGGGTAGACTCTCAGCCCACCGTTCAGAGACACTCGTTCTCCTCACTCCTCATAATGTCAGACCCAGCATGAATCCGAGGTCACCAGGATAAGTCCCGCCAAAAAAACCTACGGGGACTCAGGCCTCTCAAAGGTGCCGGCCTGCCACCAATAGGCGTCGGCTAAGCGCCCTCACGCAGACTTACCGGCACTGTAAAACCATAAAAACACAAGGGCAGAGTACAGAATATTTGATAGAGTCCTAACCTCAACATCTGAGGAAAGGGATTTAGGGGTGATTATTTCTGATGACTTAAAGGTAGGCAGACAATGTAATAGAGCAGCAGGAAATGCTAGCAGAATGCTTGGTTGTATAGGGAGAGGTATAAGCAGTAGAAAGAGGGCAGTGCTCATGCTATTGTACAGAACACTGGTGAGACCTCACTTGGAGTATTGTACACAGTACTGGAGACTGTATATTCAGAAGGATATTGATACCTTAGAGAGGGATAAAACTTACCAAGAAAGGTTAAAGGAGCTTAACATGTATAGCTTGGAGGAAAGACGAGACAAGGGGGATATGATAGAAACATTTAAATACATAAAGGGAATCAACACAGTAAAGGAGGAGACCATATTTAAAAGAAGAAAAACTACCACAGCAAGAGGACATATTCTTAAATTAGAGGGACAAAGGTTTAAAAATAATATCAGGAAGTATTACTTTACTGAGAGGGTAGTGGATGCATGGAATAGCCTTCCAGCTGAAGTGGTAGAGGTTAACACAGTAAAGGAGTTTAAGCATGCGTGGGATAGACATAAGGCTATCCTAGATATGAGATAAGGCCAGGGACTAATGAGAGTATTTTAGAAAATTGGGCAGACTAGATGGGCCGAACGGTTCTTATCTGCCGTCACATTCTATGTTTCTATGATGTGCTGCACCACTTTGGGCAACATGAAACAGCCTGGAGTTAGCACTCTGATTACAAGCTGACATGCAACCCAAAGGCTGTTCTGCTTTATCTAGTATTAAACAAGTCTAAATCACTATGTTTCAAGTTCAGCTGTTATGTATAACCGTTAGGTTTAAATGTTTTGCTTGTGTACCTATATAATTAAAAATGTGCATTACTTAACTGCCATAATTGTGAAACGTTATGAGATTACTGTGCTTACGATTGCTATTGAGGCAGAGTAAGCTGCTTTGTTCACTCATGCACTCAAAAATAAAGAATTATAAAAAAAAAATAATTGTATTTTCCCCATAAACCAACAATGTATGATTATGAATTTCGGGTAGCCTAGATTGTCTGACTATCAAGTATCTAGAGTATAAAATGTATTGTAATTAGATGTGCATTTAAAAAAAAAAAAATTTTAAATGTAGAAAACTACATATGTATGATCAAATCCTGAATATATATGTTCTCTTGACAAAGGCTCAAGTAAGAGCCTCAAGAAACAGTAATCGAGGGCCAGATTGCCCCTCCAATGGTTATTTTCAAGATATACAACTTGTGTGACTGAATGCCGTCACTGAATGGCATCCCCGAGTGCTGGTTGGTGTTGTGCCCTTTCTCCAGATTGGCCGGCGAGACACCTCCCCTCCGTGAGCACCGATTTGGTGCAAATTGGTTTGTGTCCTTTCTCCTGATTGGCCGCCACATGGTTTAGGTGGGAAATTTGAATTACCGGCTGGAACCAAGTAATTTTGTGGAGCTATTTTCAGGTATGTACAGAGCCTCAAGCGCAGACTTTGTATGACGATTTCTCGGACTCTGTATGCCGTTTCAGGAGCCACTTAGAATATAAATAGATTTATTTGCCCTTAGTAACTAGACGACACACCGCTCTCTGTCGTCCAGTTACAAGATACAATTTTATTGAGCCACATATGGCTTTTTGCATAGCCCCTTGCAAGGGGTCTTCAACACACACAAACAGGGGTTGTATCCCAGGATCCTATATACTAAGGAGCCAAAGCGCGGGAACGGGGGATAACTGTCCTTTTGTCTCCCAAATATGGAAAGCCCGCCAGTCAGGCTCGCGGGTCTCTTGCACAGGACGACGGGGAGGTCTTCATCCCAGGAGCCCCTGTGCCTGGGAACCAAGGCGTGGAAAAAGGGTCTGTCTCTGTCTCCCAGGCACAAAAAACCTAGCCAAACTAGCCAGTGCCCCAAAAGTGTCCACACCAACCTCAGGGCGGTACCTTCCTCGACTAGTCTCTGCTCGAGAGGTCCCTGTGTGGAAACCCGGCAAGAGAAGAGTCTCCTTTCGGGGTATGAATGCTCCCCCTGGTTGGCATTCGTCAATATGAAATGGCGGCCTCCCAGGGGAGCACGCATTAATTACTTCCCTTGTGGTTTCACACTTATTTTTGCGAGTGTAAACATTCTGATTAATTGGTGTGAACGCTCTAATGGGGCACCGGGGATTTCGTTCGTACTCATTAATTTTTTTCC